TCTCTCTCTCTCTCTCTCTCTCTCTCTCTCTCTCTCTCTCTCTCTCTCTGAATATGTGTACAAGTAAGTAATTCTCTAGCTCTAGCTTCTGACCATCATCTTCCATGACTGGGACATAGGCCCAGGCTACTAATTTTGTCTCTGAATATAAGGGCACCTAAAAAACTGCCAGCCTTAACTCCTGATTTTCAGAATGTTATACAATATCTTTTGTGCCACTAGGCTCCAAAATGTTGCATCTGTACTCTTGCATGTGAATGCTAGCTTTGGATGTGCTTAAGTTTACTATACTCTAGGTTTGATATCTAGAGCTGGCTTGGCAAACTACAGTCTTTAGGACAAATCCACTCACCTACACATTTTAAAAGTAAATTGTTTTAGTGGAATATAGCTCTAACTGTAATTATCCTTGTTTATGTTTACACTAATAGCATAATTGAGTAGTTTCAATACAGACTATTAAATTTTAACAAACTAGTCTTTTATAGAACGTATTTGCTGAACCCTGATCTAGACCAAGTAATTTTTCTATTTGAAGGTAATATGTATTCTTAGATAATTTTCATTCTACTGGCATTTATTCTGTCAATCCATAAATGGTAAAAGGTCAGTTCATTGAGATTGTGGAGTTAGGTTCTAGCACATTCAAGTTACTTTTTTTTACTTGAACTTCCAGCTTCCTCTTTGTTGTCTACTTAAAATGCCCTTGCCCTTGTTTTATTTTTAGTAGAAGAGATGTTGTGATCATAAAAGTCTGTGCTATGATTTAACTACCTTTGAACCTAATATCTACATCAGAATACAAACATGGTCTTCTGATTTCTAAGATCAGGCCTTTCTATATTTCAGTATCTCTAACTCAGGACTTCTAAGTTCCACATAGGAAAATAGCTTGGATAACTCGATTTTCCTCACATCACAACATCCTTATTTTCTAGTCTCTGGCCTGAAGCATTTCCAATTCTTGTGTTGTCTAATCTATCCAGTATATTAGAGTTGTTAAAAGCCTCCCATCTTCCAATGTTTTTATCAATACTTAAAGTTAAACCTTGTCTTTCACAGTCCAAAGTAATACATTTCAGATCTTATGTGATCCCAATCACTCAATATTTCCTATTTGTAGGGTTTCTGGAATCAATTTATTTCATAGCACCCAAGTGTAGCTTTTCCAGTATACTGAAGTGTATTGTTCAGTTATCAGATTATTATTATGATTATTATTATGTATTAATGTCTTCTAAATCTTCATTTAACAGTCTTTTTAAAAATAAAATTTATTAGTTGATTATTTCATACATGTATATATAATGCATTAAGATTACTCATCTCTATCCTTTCTAAACTCCTCCTTTTCCCTGTCAATTGTCATCTTCACTATAAATCTGTTTACTACACTCATCTTTTTTGTTTTGTGATACACTGAATTTAACAAGGGCCATCCATATGACCATGAGTATGGAACTATCCTTTGGAGTATGGGAGGCTCACCAGAGTCACATCTGAAGACAGTGACTCCCCTTTTCCTAGTATAAGTAAGTAGCCAGTAGTTCCACAAGGAAGAACAGGACCCCATTAGTCTTTTCTTCATCTGTAATTGACAAGCCCCATCTTGTAACAGGCTCAGAAAAGGTAACTGCATATATTGTGAGCTCGTGATAGCAATGGCTTTGTCATGCCCAGAATATAGCATTTCATTGTCCTTTTCTCTGTCATCCCACTCTTGAATTCTTTCAACTCTTATAATGTCTTTTTATTGCCAGTTCTTCCCTGACAGGAACACTCATTTTCTAACACTCAGGGTTCTATTACTCTGAACTCATAAATAACAAGATCTTCTAGCTTCTAGAGCTCTTAAAATCTAGGGTTACCAGTATCATTTAAGCTTAATTTTTATAAATTATGTCAGTATTTTGACAGGACTACGATAATGTTGAGGTGGGGTTTTCGAATTTGTGATTTGTAA